ATCTTCTATTATACTATTCTACTATGTATATGAATATCATATTACAAGATAATAAAAATGTAGATTCCAAATATTAAATAATATTAAAAATAAAAATGTGATAATAAATATAGTAATAAATGATATAGAAAATAAGAATAATTATAAAATAAATAAAATTATAATAAAATATAAATTTTTTTTATAACTAGGGAAAAATTAAGGAATTAAAGAATTTTATATCACTACAGTAACAATATAATAAGAGATTAAAATAATTTAATAGATAATTAATTATTATTTTTATTATATTAAGAAAATTTATAACTAATTATATATTTTTATTAATTTTAATAATTTTAATAATTTTAATAATTAATAAGTTATAAAATTTAAATAAGATTTTATTTTTAAAATTTTATTATTTAAAATTATTATTTAATTATTATTTTTTAAATAAATTAAATTAATTTTAATTTAAAATAATGAATTTTTAAATATTATATTATTAAAATTCTATAATATTTTAAGATTTTTTAAAATATTTATCTTTTTTATAATTTTAAATTAAATATTTTTTATTATTAAATTTAATAATAATTATAATAATAATTATTAAATATATCCAATAAGAAAATATATTTATTTTAATATTATCTTTATTAAACTAATATTTATTTTTATTTATAATATTTATAATTATTAAACTTATCTTTTAGAAAAATTATATTAAATCTTGATATATTTTAAAAATATATAATTAATAATTATAATAAATTTATTTTTTAATATAACTTTTAAAATTTAATAATTAATAAATTAAATAATATAAGTTAAAAATTTATATTAAAAAAATTTTATTTTGTATATTATAAAAAAATTATATTTATAAATATAATTTTTTATTTATTTTAAAACATAATAATTAAATTAATATAAATTATGTTATTAAAGAATTTTTCTTTTTAATGTTATATTATCATATAATTTTCTATTATATATCTTAAAAAACTTAAAATAACTAGTTATATAAAAGATTAATTAAAAAATTAATTATTATAAATTTTAACTAAGTATAATAAGTATAATATTATATGATTTATTTTAAGTAATAAATATTTAAATATTATAAAAATTCAAAATAATTAAAAATAATAATAAATTTAATATAAATAATAATATTACAAGAAGAACTTTATGTAAATATTATTTATCTGCAAGAGTTAAATAAAAAAGTTTTATTTAAGTAAAAAATATCAAAAAATTATGTTTAAAATTTGCAAAAAATATAAAGATTGATAAATAAAGAGAATTAAAATAAAATACTTTGATCAAACAAGTCAAAATTAATATTGTTAGATCAAATAATTATAAAATATTTAAAAAGGTGAGAATAAAACTCTTAATAATCATCTTATAAAATTTACAGTTAAATTTGATAATGATAGTATTATGATTTGAAGCTGTTTTTTTATCTTTCAGAGTTGAAAGTATCATATATATTTGAATTAAGAATTATATCATGAAATATTAACAAATGACTTGTTTAAAAATCATCAAGTATAATGAATTAGATAAAAATAATATTATTTTTATGCAAGACAACAATCCAAAACATGTGGCTAATAAAATGATGGAATGGTTTGATGATAATATAATGGAATGGCCATCTCAATCGCCTGATTTAAATTCAATTGAACATCTCTGAAATGAGGTAGATAGGCACCTGAAACAATCAGACATCCCCAATCAATAATCAACATCAACTGTGGAACTCAATTCAACAAATTTGGATTATGATGGTGAATTTATAACTCAGCTAATTGAAATTATGCCCAAGCGAATGGATGATGCAAATAAGATACACTAGGTGGTAAAGAGTGTTTTGTTTAAATTTTATTAAATTTATTTGTTAGCTAGTTGGCAATAGCATTTTAATTTTTATATTTTAAATCGATCAAAAAAAAAACGCATCACGTAAAATTGCTTAAATCTCTTTTTTTTTTGATTATTACGTTATCGAATATGTATATTTAAATTTATGATTTTTAATGTATATGCGCGTAAAGTTATTAAACTTTTAAATTTGTCGTTTGGATGATGCAAAACATTTGGCGGCCACTACTCTAAAAAGATTTTTTTAGAAAAATTAACTTTTAAGCAGCAAGATTTATTTTACAGATTGCTTAATAAAATAAAATAAGGATTTTTTGCAAATAACTATATATTATAGAAAGAATTTATTCTTTAACTTGCTCAATTAATTTATCGATTTTTAGTTTATAATAATCGTTTTACCTTCTCCAAGTAAGATGTCAGTCAAATTAGAATTATCAAATTTAAAAAAGTTGAGTATCTAGATATTTTTGTTTATAGACTGTGAATTTAACCTCTTATCTATTCATGGCAAGGTTAAAATGAAGTAATGTTTCTAATGAGGAAATTATTGAAAGTTTGTTAGATAAAACATTATTTTTCAAAGGATCAAGCTTTAAAATTTAAATGAAGTTTGTATATTACAAATGATCTTGCAACTGGATTGTGCGTGTAAGCTTGGGGATTGGTGTTATTGCTCGGCATTTTCTTGCTCTTTGTGTGTCTTGAAGTTCCGTGCGCCCTTTGTCCAGTATGATACGATGTAACTTTTTGGTGCAATCTTGTAGCATTTGAAACTCGCCGCGTTTTTATTCGTCTGTAATTTTTTGACGTGAGAACTGTTTCGTTCTTGAACAGCAACGAAGTGCAAGATTAAAGATGGTATTTATTAATTTATTTAAACGTATGAAATTAAGAAATATAGGGAATAACAAGCTCTTAGATATTTGTTAAGTATTGACTCACTAATTATTTTGCCGCAAAGTAACAATCAACCAAATACGTGTATATTGATGACAGATATTTATCGACAAATCGAAAACTTGTGCTAATGTAAGCAGACCAATAGGTTGAAGTAATTTGGATCAAAGTGGTTTCATTTCTTGAATCCTCATTCTTTTCTGATGGTAATTTATTTTGATGGTTCTTCACATTTACGATTTTCTTATGAGGAATTTCTGAGATGAGTGGATATTTTTGCATATAAGGTGTAACTAAATTAACTAATTTTGAAAAATTCCGCTATTATTTTTCTTACTCAACCTCAGATTAGACCATAAATTGTTCTATTATATCTTCTTTTAAAGCGTTGTGAACATACAAACTTTTGTCAATCTACAATAAGAATTCACAATTTTGAACAACCCAGCAAACAAATGTGCAAATCGATGGATAAACCTGTCTTGGAATATTAATTAAAATGATCAGTTTTACTGAACCCATATTTCAAATTTCCTATCTTGTCTATTCTAATATATCCTGCCTGACAAGATTATATATAAATTGCTTTCCCGATTAATAGTTCAAGACAGATTTATGGATGCTTTCTCGTAATATCTCGTATCCTATTTTGAGTCGGATTTTGTTTTACCGGGTCGATCAAAATTTGTGGTTATTGACAAAAATCCTATTCAGATTAGGAAATTTGGTTCTTATCGTTATTATCGGCAGTGAAAATTCACGGACACGTGATCGAGAATTTGGATCGAATGTCGGGAATTTGATCGATCCCGGCTTTGGAATATGGGTTTTCCCTGATATACATAAGCCACAAGCCACAGGTTCATATGATTTTATGAAATTATTTTCCGTGAAAATATTCCTCGCGAAATTTCACTTTAGACTTTATCATGCGATATAATCTTAACCCTCCAACCGAAAGTCACCATACGATAAATTGTTCGTCAATTTACATCAAATTTTTGACTTTCGGGGGTGATATCTCGACCTAGCAATCAGAATGGCCTTCGGTCTAGTCATGACGAATCGAATGGTAGTATTTGGATATAATTTCGATCATTAGGTATTAAAATATCGTGCCCGAAAGTTACTATATGAGAAAAATTTGTGTATTAATGAACGATTTATCGTACGGTGACTTTAGGGCGTGATATTTCGACACCCTGTGGTCAGAATTGCGCTCAAATGCCACCATTCGATTCGTTATGAATAGACACCCGAGAGTCACTGTATGAGAAAAATTTGATGAACAATTTATCGCATGTTGACTATATCTCGACACCTAACGATCATAAATGCACCAAAATATTACCATTCGATTCGTCATGACTAGACACTGGGTGACGAGATATTCCACCTAAAAAGCATTTCGGTGGTGTCACCCAAAATATTAATAGCATTTCGGTTGGAGGGGATTATATCAAATGGTAAAGTCTATAGTAAAATTTCGTGAGGAGTATTTTTGTTAGAATACTCAAAGTAGTTTCATAAAAAATTAAGGTTTACCCCTATTCCAAACATGTGTCCGTGAATTTTCACTGGGAAGTTCTAAAAACGCGTCCGATCATGTGATTTTAAGAGGTAAAACCAATCAAATCGATATGATAACGTTTGGTTAAGATTATATTCCACTTACGCTTAACCTGATTAAGGTAATAAATTATTTTATTTAAAATTATTAACGTTAAGTTTACGTTTAGTCTTTCTTCACTATAACGAGGTTTGAGTATGCATGTGGTAAAAATCATGAAATCACCATATACAGCATATTTTTCTATCCTGCATTGTTGCACATAAATAGCTAGACATGATGTTTCATAGAAACATACATGTACATGTTCGACCAGATTGAGTAAATTGTCCGGTTTACGACAAAACTTTCAATAAAAATGCTGAGGTTTGAGGAGTGCAAGGTGAAGCAGGTCTCCAACCAACTTGTTGCTACCGCTGTGCTTGTATTTGTCAAATAAATAATTCGGCTACTATTGCGTATTATTTACATTATAGAGGGTCTTAATTGTAAAGAATGCGGAGCTGAGTTTGAACTACTCAATTATTGTTATTCGTGTACTGGTCGTCTTTTCGAAACAGAATTTGATAAGTGGACCAGTGGCGATGAGCGCCAAAATACCTGGGCAATATATTGAATGGATACCGTACGATCTTTTGACTAATATTGAATTATTAGCCGAAGGGGGTTTTGGAATTGTTTATCGTGCTGAATGGTTAGATGGTCGTATTCCTTACGAAAAATCGTGGAATTATGAGCAAAACACGTGGAATCGTCCTTCAGAACCAACTGCTGTGGCGTTAAAAGTGCTCAAAAATTATGAAAGTTCAAGAGTTCTTAAATGAGATATAAAATTAGTCTATTCAGAAATTTTTTAAAGCAATATTAATTTTTATTCTATGCTGTACACAAAGGTAAAAATTCAAGTGAAATTTAACGAACGAGGACTTTTGCAACGCTTTATGGTTTCTCCAAACATCCTTAGACGAACGAATGGCTTATGATAAGTGAATACCTCAGTTGTGGAAATTTAAGAGAATATGTTAATAAAAATTGGCTGGGATACGAAGAAATTTAATCATTAATTACATGCATATCGAGGATTATTTATAAAGATCTTCATGTTCATCGAGATTTTCATAACGGAAATATATTGATGTATAAGAACCATAGCAATCAAATAAATGCTCGTATCACAGATTTGGGTTTATGCAAACCGGTGATCAAAGTCAAATTTATGGCGTCCTTCCATTTGTTGCACCTGAAGTAATTACTGGTAAAAAATATACACCGGCCGCAGATATATACAGTTTTGCTATGATAATGTATCACTTATGGGCCGGAAAACCGATCGCCTAGCAGATATTGGCTTGCCATTTGATATAAACAATGGAATTCGTCCCACACTTCCAGACTTCATACCAAAATGTTTTGCAAATATTTTACTTCAATATTGGAAAGCTGAGCCTTCCGAGCGTCCTACTATACAAGAAGTACATAATGCTCTATTTTCTTTTAGCAAAGAGGATTATGTAGAATTTCAAAGTGCGGATCTTAAGAGAAAATAAATGAAAACTACTGAAAATAAATCGCTACTAGATACAACTGAGAAGGTATACACGCATTGTTTTAGCAGTAATCTTTCTGAGTTTTCAAGTTCCCTTACAAATGCGAATGAGCAAAATACGTTGACCAAAGATTTTAATCTTTATTGGGTAAGAATAAAATTACTTTCGCATCATAAATGAAATATAACTTATCAATGTGTGTATTTATAACAACAGAATTCGAGGATATTCATTATTCGACAAAGCTAGATGTTTCTTTCGACGAAAATATTGAGTTTGACATTGAAAATTTATAAAAAGTTTATCCCAATAGTAACTTTGCACCTTTATTATCTAACTACGTAAATAATTACATATTAGATTCAAACCTCTTTGTAATAAAGCCTCGTTATAGTAATACCGCGTACTTTCTCCTGACCAATTCATCTATCTCGGATGGATCAACTATAGCTAAAAATAGTTAACCAATTGGCATAACTATGTTAAATAACTAAGGCTTCATCAAGAAATGCCCGACGGAAATTCCCTCTGGTGCCATTTAATCTGAAGCCCATATTCATCACATCTAAACTCTTCACCCATAATTCCTCTTAATATACCCACAATGACTGCACGTTTATTCATATATATTTTGATACGGACATTATAACAACTTTGTTAAATTTCTCCATCTTAAATATCAATCATCAATATTGTGACATTCGTGTGCTATCAAAAATTGGCAATACTATTATATCAAAAGTACGAGCCAATCATAATGCAGCTTTTTTATGCACTTTATCCATCAGATTTCGAATGCATTTTCTAATGCATGCTTGAATCCATAGAGTTGTGCTTCTTAGCCAATGCTCTAATAATGCGTAATATAAAAGCATTCAGAGACAGGCAGAAATGCACAATACGAATAATATTATTATTAACAATACTATCAATATATAAGAAAGATTCAGACACTAGGATCAATGACTACAATATGAATCTCTTCCGCTTGATTTTTGCAGATATATACTCATTTAAATGTTCAATATTCTACATAAGTTTTGAATTTATATATTATTTATTGCAATATTATAATTCAAAATTTATAAGATTGTAACTAGTTATAATCTGACAATATTGTCAAAATGTTGTAATAGTTGTAATATTTATCTTTAATTATGACATTTTTAGTGTTATTTAACCAATTATAATTGGGTTTTTTAATATTAACAATAAAATAATGAATTAATTTAGTTAATAATCCAGATTAATAATAAGAAATACAGTTATATCTCTTTATAAATACATAATCAGGAGATAATAAAACTTGATTTTTATAAAAATTATAATTATATTATAAAAAAAGAAATTTTAATATATTTTATAATAAGCTTTTTTTTAAAAAATTATTTTATATATAATTTATTCTTATATAAATTATTATATAAAAGATATAACTATATCTTATTATATAATAATCTGAAATAAAAATAAGTGATTTATAATAATATTGAGTATAAATAGTAATAATTTATCAGTTTTTAAAAGTAAAATAAAAGTATTAATTCTCTTATCTCCAGTTTCTTATAATAATTTCATCTCTTATTTATATAATACTCAAGATAATTTATTAAGCATCTTGTATGATATCTTGTTATAAAAGTTTATTTCTTATATTATGAATTTTTAGCTGAAAAAGTATTAATTACTTTGTGATTTTATAATTAAGTTAATAATTAATCACTATCAAAATAAGATTTTCTAAAAGATATTTGAGTATATTTATATTTTTGATAATTTTATTAAGTTTAATTTTTATTTTTTTTACTTATTATATTATTTGTACTTTGCTTTTTTGCATTTATTTTTATCAATATCTAAAAAGTAAGTAATTCAAAAAATAAATAATTTAACTTATTTAAATATAAGAAAGTAATATTCATTTAGTAAATTACTTTTTTTGAAAATATTTTGAGATAGCTCTCATTTATCTATTAAAATTATAAATTTATGCTATTATATAAATATTAAACTTAATAAAATTAAAGATTAACTTATAGAACTTATTTTTTAATAATCATAATCTTGATCAGTTTGTAATATATAAAATATATTTTAGATTTCTTAAAGTTAATGTCAAAGCTAAAGTAATAGTTTGGAAATTATAAGAGAAGATATTATTTTTATCTTTCAAAATTTTCTATTTTATATTAAAATAAATAAGCAAACATTTATTTTTCTTCTAGATATTTATCAAATATATTAAGTTATATGAGAAATAATCAGATTATACATAATAAATTCATATTTAAACTTAGAATTTTGAAATTTAGATATTTTTTAAATACAAGTGAATTTTTAACAAATAAGTTTTTAATAAATTAAATTATATATTTATTACTTTTGGATTTGTCAATATTCAAGTTCATAAACTAATTTTAAAAAATAAGAATGAAAAAATTCCTGAAAAATAATTGGCTAATATTTTTTATATCAATTATGTACTCATCTCATAAATAATATACATTTATTCTCTAAATCATTTTCTAAAAGAGATTGTTTAATGTAAACAATCATCATTGATTGTATTAGTAAAAAATGATTTGTCAAAATGATTTGTCAAAATGAAGCTATTATTTGAGGTGAAGCTATCTATTCTTATACATTCTTTTCAAATAAAATATCATATGACAATGATTTGAGAAGCCTTTATTTCCATACAAAGAAAAATCGACTTTTCTGAGACAAGAAACAAAATATAACTTTGCTTTCTGTGATTCTTTCACAAATCAAAGAGTTAAAAGCAAATAGAAGATTTTTATTTGATGTATTCATAAATAAAAAATAAATAAAAATTATTATATAACATAGTATATTCCTTATTATAATAAAGGATAATGGTGAGATATTCAAGCTTATTAAAGAGATTTGAATATATAATATTATATTCTTTGTATAGTGTCAAGTAAAATTTTTTAAATACTATATATATACCATATATAATCGAAAATAAGCACCCTCCAAAAATAAGAAACCCCTTCTCTTTTTAATCTGAGGACCATAAAATTAAAAGTACCAAAAATAAGAAATCTTTAGTTTTTGGAAAAGAATGGTTTATTAGATTTTGTATTACATGTTCACGTCAAAAAAAATAACATCTTCATTCTCTTCTGTCATATCAATTTCATAAATTTCCTCATCATTATTCTTTTGATTATTTTCTCTCTTCATCCATCATATCTATATCATTCTCATTATCACAAACATTACTTTCTATATCTACCAACTCATCAAAAATCTTCTCATTCTCTGATCCATTCAAAGCATTAGAAATGCAACACTTTCGAAATGCACGCTGAATGATCTCTGGGGTAATTTCCTCCCAGGCTATAAGCACCCAGTTATACATAATGCGCAAGCTTGCATATTTTAAATTTCCATTGACAGTTTTTCCGATACCTCCATCTGTCATCCATGTATATTATTGACAATGAAGAGCAGCTTTGAAAGGATGATTAATCAAAACATCCAGTGATTGACATATGGATGTAAGACCACCAGGAATAATAACAAGGTCAATATTATTTTTTTTTATTTCATTCTTATTATTGTTTGTAAGATATGCTTTGAAAGAATCATAAACAAGTAAAGTGGGCTCTTTATTACAGCTACAAAGCTATCATTCCTTCTTCATCCATCCAATCTTTTTCATGAAAGGAAATGTTGACATTAGGAGGTGGTGGTGGTGTATTTTTAGTTTTAGGTTACTGCTTTTCGTTAAAGATAATAGTTGGCTAAAGTTTCTGACCATTGGTAAAACAGGTAAGAGCAACTGTAAAATGATTTTTGTCATTATCCATAGTTCGAACATGAACTGTTTTTTTGCCAACTTCCTCAATAGTAAGGTCACCTGCCATATCAAACCATACCGGAGTTTCATCCATATTTGCAATATGACTGAGCGGAAAATCTTTACGTTGGCGTAATCGGATTACATATTGTTGAAAATTAAGCAAATTTTCTAATTTTTGTGATATCTTTGTTTTACAGCGAAGAGTAAGCTCATAATGATGTAAAAAACATTTGAGCCATTTCGAGGAAGCTTTGAAATTGTTCGCGATGATTTTTTTTGTGGGGTCGTTTGTGGGGCAGCAGTTTCAGCAACAAGTTTTAACATTTCAATTTTGAGACCGTAATATGTAACAGCCAAGGCAGCCTCACGCATTTGAAGAAACCAAGCAAAAAGTTGTTTTTCTTCTTCGGGAAAAAACTCCTTTCTACCAGCGCCAACCCGACGAGACTTGCGGTTTTTGAGGTCGTCATGCTGATTTTTTAGAGCTTTTACCCATTTGCTAACCATACTTTTTGCAATGCCGAAATGAGCAGCAGCTCTGGTATTATTGGAAGCTAGAGCAAAACGAACAACAGCAGCCTTTTCCTCGACAGAATATGACTGCCTTTCTCCTTTTTTTACACGCGTCATATTATTAATAGATTTGTGCTTCTAATTAATATCGAATTGCAAAGTCCCGAAAATAAGAACACCCCCTGATTTCAGTGTTTGAAGGGCCCGATTTTTGGGGTTCTTATTTTCGGTCATATTCGGTATATATATATATATAGTGAATTTTACAAATCACATGAATGTATAGGTCTGATTTCTGATACATGTATTTAATTTTCAGTTTTAATTTTATCATGTTTGAACCGTACAATCACGTGCTTATGGTGCTGTTAGGCTTGATAATTTGCTAAAGGGTTCTTATTCATTATTTTTGTTTTACAGGTTCTATATGTTGGTTCGTTCTCAATCACGAAATTGTGTTCCTTTATTCTCAATGCTTTAATTAAAGATTAAGGTAAATATCAAACTGGAGAGACGAAAATGTTCTCCGTGGCAGAAAGATACATGGTATTAGAAAAGTTTTATTGAATGACGTGTCAATTTACAAAAAAATATGTTGACATATCTAAAATATAGAGTATGAGACAGCGATAATACAGATATTAAAATCGGTACCGTAAAACACTATCCATAGTATTCTCTTCTTATAGCTTCATTCTCCATCGATTAATTCGATAAAATGTAAATATTATCAGTATTATTGAATAATACAAGAGAAAAGGGATACTATAAGTATATCCGAGAAGTTAAGTTTTAGATGTTATAATAATCTGTGATATAATTCTGGAAATAGATATCATAGTCAATTTGGAAACAATAAATAAAAAAATAATTAAGGATCTATATGATCTTTTAAGTGGAATGAATTTGTGAAGGATTAACAATCAAGGCTTTTTATGTTGAATGATTTTCTGGTTGAATAAATTTATGAAAACAATCCTTGAATCACAGCTGTTATGATAGCATTGCCGTTATTTGCTAAATCAGTTGGTGCTCTTTGTAAGGAATTCTCTCTTCGATATTCGCTTTGACTTCTTTCCATAATATCATAACGGGCTAGTTCGGAAGCATAAGTGTCCATCTCCTCTATTTTTTCTCTATATATGGTTGCTAATAATTCCCTTTGCGGATCATTTTCGTCAATTGATTCTAAGTTCTGTTGCAATATTTCCTTTTTCGCCATTGGTTCTTTGATTCTATGGCTCAAACTATAGAAACCTTTTGCTTCATAAGTATTCTCTCCACAAGTGCTCAAAGCATCTATTAATATCTTTCGCGAGGCGTTCCTTATATTTTTAAACATCTCAATATTATTCTCTACGCAATTTAGCGAGGGATTATTGACATAAATGATATCGCGACAGGAACGAATCAATTCTACGATATCATTGTTTTCTTTAATCATTTTTTTTAAGTCGTCGTATAGCACCGCTTTATCTTGAAAACTAGGAAAATTAGTACGGACCAGTGTAGTATACTGACTGACACCTTCATCGAAAATAATTGTTCTTAGTAAATTGTAAGCTTCTATCTCAACCTGTGTAAGTTTACCATTAGTGACAAAGAGGATCTGATACAGACCGTCCTTGGCTTGGCAAGCACCTTCTACTATTTTTTTATGGACTTCGTTGGAGGGTAGCTTAGTGTCGGCGATACCTGGTGTATCGATGATATTATATCTAATTCCGTTTATCACAACCTTTTCACTTTGGATATTACGAGTTTCAGCAACCGTAAATTCGCTTTCTTTAAACTTCGTGGTATCAGTGATAACATTGGCAAGGGCAGATTTTCCCGAACCTGTGTGACCAATAAGGAGAATAGTTCTGACATTGTCGCTATCGTTATTATCTAAATTTTTTTGAGAAGTCAAGCTATTTACTTCTAGTGTATCATTAACTTCTTTTTCTAATCTGACGTCAATGGCCTGACGCAGTGCTTTTTTTAATGTTGTATATCCGTTAACTGGATTTGAATCGGGATATCTTTTATCTTTTACTTCTCCCACTTTGGGATCATAGATAGCTAATCTCACAGCATACACAGTAACTCTGCTTATAACTATGGCGCAGTTATCTTCCTTTGGAGTAGAAAAGATAATGACTTTTTCTATTCTTATAGTATTAAAATGTTCTCGAATTATTTGTTCCAAGTTATCTATTGGCATGTTTTAATTTTTTGATACGAGATATTTTTGTGAGCTTGCGTTTTTTTAAATTGATAGAGAGGATTTATTGCAGCGTATTTATAAGGATGGGAATTTCACAAACCTTTTATTACTTGGATCTGCGTTTCATTCGTTCATTGTGATATTACTTAATATGTATCGATATTAGATATGTGTCGAATAGATCAATGACTTTGATTGCTGCGATTTCCCGACAACACGTTTAAACCGTTTTGCTGACAAGAACTTGCACAAATCTAAACTTTTATGGCCCAGACCAAAGAACATGTTTTCTGTGTGACTAATTAAATCAAAACATTGATTGCGAAGTTTGCCGTGAATAAGTAAAATGTCCCATTTTTAGGTACGCTTTTTGAGCCAACTTATTCCGTATTTTTATAGATTTCAATAAAAAAAAGGGGTTTTGGCTACGTTAAAAAAATTAACCCATAAATTATTTCTCGTTGGCTCAAAAAGTGTACTAGGATTAGTAACCGTAAAATTAGCCGCGGATTCTTGAAACTCCAGATTCTCCGTTTTTTCTCGTGGTTATGCATCTGATTCAGTGAAAGGTCTTTATAAACAATATTTAAATGATGAGTTGTATTCATTGAGAGTATAATAAGTTATATTAGAAAATCAAAACTTGAAATAAACCTGTTGTTCTGTCACAATTGTACCATAAAACATTTCTTAATAGAATTCACTGTTGATCCATAATATTAGGCTTTCTTTGCAAAGAGTTACCTTGAAAAACCGTCGATTGCATTTTTTATTTTATATATAGAGACGAGAAAATAAAACCTAATTTCAAAACGAAAAAAACAATTTTTAATTTTAAACGAAAGCAAACGTCTTTCTTTGCCATAGTAAAACAATAATCTTTTTCAGGAAACCATTGGTTGTTAGTGTTAGGTGTTGTGTAACAAATCAATTTGGTGTAACCTTTCTTGGTATCGATAAAACTAAGTCGCTAGTGTGAGTATTATACCCAGATTTGGGGGAGCGTTAACGTTAAAGCAAGGTAGCACTATCAAATCGCTAGGAATTTCACATTTAGGGTTAGGGTTAACCAAATAAAGACAGAACTATATGTAAAATTTGCGTTGAACATTTTTTTACTTAGTGATTAAAAGACCAGTTATCCTAAAACTATGAATTTTTTGCAATCGGATTGGTTAAATTTTTATGTTACACTTGATCTTTACGATTAGACCACGTGATACTTACCTGACCCCCCAGATTTGGGTGGCATTCCCTTACTAGGAAAACAAAGAATTCCCATTATTTGTTTTGATTTTGCCTGTGTGAACGCCGTGTTAAAGAACTATTCTTTTATTTAGTGTCAATACAATATGCAATTAAACCAATTAAACTTATATCATATCCTATTATTTTGATTTTAGATTAATTGGGATTCATAGAACATTTCAAATTTACACTTGGTTTTTCTCCGGGACCATTATTATCGATTTTCACGTTACTTTTTTAGACATACTAAATATTTAAATTTCTAAAAAGGGATAAAATTATTGTTGCGGTTTGTCCACCGTAATATTTACCAACCTCAAACTCCTTTGAGAGAAATCTCAAATGACAACTAACTATCGCATGTAGAAAAAAGCAAAAGATCAATGAGTTCACAACCTACCTGCAAAGTTCAGCCCATCATCAAACATTTTTGAACAATCCCAAGGGCTTTCACTCATCGCCAATTCAATTGGTTCAGCAACTGCAGCCGGTAGCACGAGTGAATTTAGCTCAGAACGTGTTACCATTGCATCGAGCAACTTTGGGTCAGATTACGTATGCTGGTCCGCAAATTACTATCGGTAACCACGCCAGATGATAATTTGGTAAAATCTTTCACTTTTAACAGACATTCAATCTTGAAGAGGATAAGTCGCACTTTTCTGAATGCATAAGCATGTTGGTATCAATTAGAAGAATATGCATAATGCGCTTATAGGCTATGCATTTGGAGGAGAGTGAAAATTTTATATAGTGCAAATAAAAAATGAATAAATGATATTCCACTCTCCAAAGATGCATTGAAATACCGATTTAAAGTTAAACAAAATCTTTGTGTAAACTCATATTTTTAGCAATCAAGTTATTTTTTTTAAATTGCTTTAAAAATAGCAACAAAAATGAGAGAAGGTGAGTGTTTTTTGTACCAACATCACATTGTTCAATTTAATGACGAAATGGTGCATGACATCTGATAAATTACTTGAAATGGATTCAATGTGAGGCATCTTTTAAGAATAAACTTCAAAAGGAGAAAATTCGAAAAAGTAAAGTTAAAAGAGAAAATCTCTTGAATGACCTGGGAATTTCAAGCGTTGTTTGTTGCTTGTGAATGCTGCATATGCGGTTATGAGAATAAGCCTGAGATTTTTCTTGTACAAAGAGGTTTTTGGCTTCTTTGTCTCGGTAGGGAATCTAACGCTGTTCCTTAAAAATTTCTTTATATTTACGAATCAAGTATTATTGTAGTGCTGAATCATTTGCTGAATAAAGACATAAATGGGTTGTGTGTATCTTTCTAAAAAAATGATAATCTTGCATAAACCGATTTATTTTTTTTTATTTAACGTTAGCGTGAAAAATCATCCGATCCTCGCGAACAGTCATCAGACAGATTATTTTACCCAGGACATTCATTCGTAAATAATTACACACAATATGTGAGATAGATAAAATGCTATTTTTAAGTCGCCCTCTTAAACTTTAGATTTTGTGAGCCGACTTAGTAACATAATTATGTGTGCATTTGTTTGTTATAACGATAACGGAACAAATCATTTTTCTCTTTCGTTGATTACGTGTAAAATAATAGGAGTATGAGAAAAAAATATTGGTTTGTTTATTGGCTTATTTGACACATAATACGTGAAAAAGACCAAATTAACTTTTGTGACACGTGTAGATAGATAACGAACTATCAAACTACCACGATTTTTGAATTCACGTCGTTGTCGTTTATAATGAAATCTGGTATAGAAACGAGTTCTGTTGATATGTGCGAGCGCGTGTGCGCATACAACCACCACCAAAAACAACAATAATGAAAGAAATGTTTTCTCCGACTCAAGGTTTTATTACGAAAAGTCTCGGTTATGATTTATTTCGTAGATAACCTTGTCGAAGTGGCGGTAAAGGATCACCACAAACTATTGCTATCAGTAGAAAGCTCACATGTGTAATGAACATTTCTAATTTTAGTTTTAAAAGATTTCTCGAACAAATAAAAGGTTTTTTTTCCCTTTTGTATCACTTTCTTTTTTGGTATCTATTAATAATCTCTATTGATTGGGGATTTGCGTAATAACGATAAAACCAAATGTCTTTCCAAATTTGAACGATGGTTACATTAATTTTGTATGGTCTGGGTCCTTTTATAACAAGAAATACACAATTCCTTAATTTGTTGATTTACATACTAAAATGGACGGGATCTATTTTTTCATGAAAAAACGTGGATGATTTTTAAAAATAGCCAGAGATACACGCATTAAAAATAGAACAGAATCATATATACATCAAATGGCGTCAAAAAGAGAAAACCAATCATTCTCAAGTTTTCCAAAGATAAAGGTAAAAATAAAATGATATATGTGTGTGATGTTATAATTTTAATACACACATTTATCTTACTTTTAAAGATCGTTTGAATAGTGAAGTTGTAATTGACAATCAATGTATCTTTGTTATCACCCCACATACATTCATACTTGCAGATTACACAACGATTTTCATTCTATGGCGTTTTTTTTGCCATTAGGTTACAAGAATGAATCTCGAAAAACCCGGCATTTTATTCAAATAAAGAATTTTAGTTTAGATAGTGGGAGATCCGATGACAGTTGCTGATATAATAATAATTTTGTTACACGACTTTAAAACATTTGCGATACACACTCATATTTCTAATTATGCTTGTCTAAAATGACAGTAACTCTCAATTCATAAAATTTTACGACGTGAGGTGTTGTTGATCATTTGATGAAGCATATTTGTTTTTCTTCTAAGTATCAAAAATTCCCATCTCCATACTATTGTTATTATTATTATTATTAATATTATTATTCTTCTTCTTCTTTTTCTTCTTATTATTATTATTTAAGCCAGGTTTGTCTAGTCTTTTAAGAATATTCGAGTCCCTTTTTCTGAGTGTATTTACATTCCTTCAAACAATAGAATTAGTTTGACAAAAAAACTAATTTAATTTAAACCAATAAGATCTCTTAATTCCACAAACTTTAAAAATATCTTTGTTTTTATCATTGTTATTCTACCTTTAACCTAATGTTGTTTGTTACTATTTAAAAAGTGAAGATTCACACAAAAAAAACTGGTTTCATTTTCCCATCATAATATCATAATGTCTAATTTTAACTAAATTTGATCAAATAAAAAATATATTGATGACAATACATATATATTGTAATCATACATTACAATAGAGATATCAATATCATCAAAAAACTTATTTATCGTTACAAAAAAGTCCATCCGTAGGAAGTATAAAAATGCAGAGTAAATAAAAATTTTTTCAAAACCATATCAAATTTCTTCACGTAAATTGCTAAGGGTCAACAAAAATTTAACAAAAATTTTTCAAAAAATAAATTAAAATTTTGAACATGTCAAATAAGAAGATACTTGGTACAGGAAAACGTAATAGTACGATGCAACATCGTATTCGCTTCACTACTAAGCGACCTTCGACGGTTTTGCCGCCTATGGAACTTCCGTTTCCACCAACCATAAATCCTGAGTTTTTAGTATCGAAAATCTCCACCAAGAAGGTTCTAGCAAGATTTCCGAACGGTTAGTACATATTATTATTATTAATATTGTATAATATCACTTCGCCCTGGTATGATTGCATACTTTCAGAAACTCAACACTGATCATTACAATATATTATTGGTGTCTATCAGCATTTATTATTTACAGAAATCAATATGTTCAATTCCTCAAAAGCAAGGGGATTCATCTTTCAATGACAGATCTTTCACCCATGATTTCTCATGCTTGGAAACAAGAAAGTGAAGTCGTTAAAGATGCCTATACTCGCTTAAGTTTACAGGCCGAAAAATTATATCTTCGCCGTGGTTCTGAGCTACAAAGGCTTGCGACTGAACAACAGCAACAACAGCAACAATATTTTATTAACCATAATAATAACAACAATGGTAGCAACAACAACGTTGAAAGAACCTATCAATTTAATCAACATGATATTGTTGAATATCCTCTTTCATCCCCAATCACACCGCAAGCTCAATTTTACTCGGAAGTGCCGGTCTTGACACGCCCAATTGCGCAAAGAAAAATCCCGCCAATTTTCTCATCCAACCTCGACAGCACTAATGAAGAACATCTTTTCAATTCTCCTTATACTTGTTCTGCTTCAACGTCACCGACCATGGAATTTGAAGATTTTTTCAAAACTTCATCTGAACCTAATAACGCTCGAGAAGAACAAAATAATCTCGATTCGGCCAATGATAACAAATTCGTTCCTGACTGCGGTAATATAAAGATTCCTGGATTTGCTCAATTGGTCCAAGAAAATTGCGTATATGATCCTTTCGAAATTTACAGTAATTTATTGGATACCAGAAGATCCAACACCCAACACCATCATCATCATCATCATCACCAACAATCTTCTGCTGATAGTAATACAACTTCTTTTGAAGTTGATGCAAACACGTTGGGATTCAACTATCATCATATGGATTTCTTTGCTTCTTTAGGAACTGCCAATTCTTCATCTGAAAATTATCAAAATGAAGGAATTCTGACTGATTTCTCGCCGATTGTTTCTTCTTAAACCTTTTCCTAAACATATCTTATGTAAACTTGTAAAAAAATTGTATAGATTTTGTATTATTGTATATTATATCATATAAATATAAAATATCTTGTTATCTATGAGTTTTTGTATAAGTATAGAATTTGAATGAACAAACTCTTCTATGATCAATCAATCAATTAAACCTGGTCTTAGTGATAGACTGATATTCATTCATACATATCTAGATTATACAGTAAAACTCTTTAAGTTATTTTGAGATTTTAAAGCTAAGATCGACATGATCATAAGACGCCACATACGAAAAACAATGTAAGGATAGAAAATAAAATTCCGTTTTCACATATTGATACATGTATTATAAATGGGCTTTTTTCCTATTTTATTATTTGACCAAGAAATGCATCTGGATATGCTGTAACAACCCCTTTTTGTCAGACAGAGAACTCTCGTAGTCTTTTTCTTTTTGCACGAATTCCCACGATTTTTGCCCAATTGCATGGAGAAGATTTCTTTACCATTAAAGTAGAATTTTAGGAAATTTTAGTTATTATAATGCGTGATTAGATAAATGCATGTACACATATATATATATCTCTCTCTCTATATCATATACTATATATAGAGCTAGATATAGAAAAACATTTTGACATTTTGATCATGTATCTGAGAGATCAAATATTGTAACGAGAATTAAAAGATCTAAAAGTAGAAGCCTAAAAGGATCATTTTCTCTTTGTTTATAAACAAGCTTTAATTCCTAAAAATCTTATATTGTTATATATAGAGTAACACTTGCAGCGCAGCAGATATTAAAATTGCAGTGCGGAGTTACATTCAGCGCGGGTAATAATTAATTTAGAATTTCGTGTTTAAAGAATTACGTTATGAGCAAAAATCAGGAGATAAACTTGTTTTTATATAAAAAAAGGTTTTTTGCGAAGATTTGTCATATGTTTATTTCAGGTAATAAGGCGAAAGAGATAATGCAAACATTCCATTAAGGTTACATATCAGAATTTCTTGAACAATGAAACCATTGAAAACAAATCTAAATTTTTTAATAACTTTAAAAGAAATCAGCTTTATATATGCAAGTCCCGTTTGCAAATCAATTTTGTGAATGAAGCTACATCTGGAATACTGAAAGGCTATTTTGCTGAAAAACACCGTTTCTGACTTCATGTGCGATGACATCTCGAACTTCGGGCACATATTAAGGGAATTCTTGGTAATCGAAATACATCTCGGTTGATATAAAACAATATACGGTTATCGTTATGCATAGAAAATCGTCAAGGAAATGAAAAATGCACAACATATGCAAGAATCTGCGAAATACTTTTCTTCAAATAAAGTATCAGCTTTTTGACATCCTTCTTTTGAATATTTAATATTTCCGTATAATGAAAGAAACATTGTATTCGTCATATCAATACGAAAACAACAGACAAATATATGTAATTAAAATTCTCTAGTGACACAAAACTTAAAAATGACATTTCTTTGTCGTTTAAACTGGTCTAGTCCATTGGAATATAGATTTGTTGATACAGTGGCTCAAAGAACCCAACACAGAAAAAAAAACGGCGAGATACGAATTCCTCGCCGTAGTGAGAACCTGGGCAACCAAAAGGTGAGTGTATTGATTCATCAATATCTGTAGTATTGATGATATCAAAATTTATTCGCTTCTATCTTTCATTAAAGATGCATTTATCATTTTTTAGCGTTGCACTTATTACAACCGAGCGGGAAGGTGGATGGAAGGTAAAGATAAGTACAAACGCTTTTGATTGTTTGTAAATTAAAAAAATATATCTTCACATTCTAACCAGCAAACTGACCCCATTTTTCATAATTATGCCTAGAATCCCTATAGAGAAACGCGCCCGTATATACACGCTCCGGAAAGAAGGATATTCGATGCGGGAAATCGCAGCATCGGAACAAGTAGATCCGGCCTCCGTCTACCGGATATGCAAAAAGAAAGAAGAGACTGGGCGCTTCGATGACAAGCCGAAACCGGTCGCCTACCAATCCTCTCGACACGCTACGAAAGAAACGCGTGCCGATTAATTCACTCCGTAAAATGTTCCGCTGTCCGAGGTCCAACGAAAGCTTAAAAATGAGTTGGACGTTGACCTTTCGGTGGAAGCATACGACGTATGCTCGGTAGAAACGGATCATTCGCTCGCATAAAACGAAAGAAACCTTACTTTATAAGTCACTGTATGTGGAGTTCGATGAGCTGGAACTGGATTAATTTGAGGTCTTTTCCAGTCTAATAAATAATATTATACAATCGGATGACAAATACAAATGTACATGTACATGTATTAACACTGGTCAAACAGGGTAGGGCTAAATAATACTGAAAATTACCAAACTTACAATTTACCCTTGGTTTTTGCCCAAAAACAAGATATGCGTCAATTTTTTTCAAAAAAGTGGCATTTCAAACCATATTTTTACCTGTATCTTAGACCACAGGTGAAACCTAGGTCGAGCCAGTGTACAGTCCGCACGGAAAGTAATGCGGTTAGTTTTTTAAAATTCAGGTGCAATTTTTAAAGGTAACTATACAAAAAATTTATCTCTAGAACGTCTCTAAGTAGGTATCATACTTTATAAAATTTAACGCATAATACATTTTTCCTTCCATGTCAATGAAGGTTTGAATGCAATTTGACATGTTAAAAAGGTCATAAGAACTTTATTTTATTTTCTTTTCATAATTTTTAATTTATAAACTAATAGAAATTGTTCCTAATACAATTTTTTAAGCTGAACATTTTTTTACTAATAGACAAAGACTCGTTGACATAGTAAAATTTTGCGTAATCGCGAGTCAAATTGATGTTTTTCATGATCGACTCCGTATCACAATTATCAAAATTCTGCCCAGACCGAGATATTGATTTTTCAATGCTGGAGATACATTACGAAATAGAGGTTCATGGAGTGTCAAGAGTGTCATGTATCTTTCACACGAGTCTTTTAAAAGGAGGCTAATTATATGATAAAAATTTTTCTGCCATTATTTTCCTTGTGTACTGTAAGTAATAGATGATATCGATATAGTCATTCTCGAGTACATGTAGTTTGAAATTAACATCTAAAAATACTCTCACGGTTGCAATTTTTATAAATTGATTGGTTGGCAAATAAAAAAATTTTTGATTATTTTTTTCGTTCGCGAAATTTCCTAGTTCGAAACTTCAAATCAATAACAGATTATCAAAGGAGAGAGACAATGAATAGAGGGGTAGGTGAATTTGTCACATAAATTTCTAATGTCTTTTTTTATAAATGACTACATAATACAATATATCTTTTAAATTTTATGGAAAATCTACAAAAACTTTTCTAAGAAAAATGTCTTGTATCTACATAAATGAATTCATAACGATGAAAATTACAGAAACCTTTGTATCAAAAATGGATGAAAATCACAAAAACAAAAATTAAATAAAAAGGATTATTCGAATAATTTAGTAATAATCTAGAGTTCGAACCTGACACTTCTTTAGGTTTAGATTGCTGAGTGACATTAGTTGAATTTGGTGATGTGATCTCTGTTGGTACTGAATAAACAGAGATTTCCCGATAAGGTTCTCCCCCAATACAATTAACCACGGGCCTAATAGTGAAACCGGCATTTTGCACGATCTTAATGGAAGGAGGTATTTGAGCAGCCGTTTGTTGGTATAAGTCATGTTGTAAGGAAATATGTCCATAATTCCATGTGGTATTTTTGACCCAGTTTGTGAAATTGCCCTCAATCCATGACAAATCGAAAGAAGGGTTCCCGACGGATGTCCAATCTAGAGTATCAGAGTCCCACAAAAGAGGTGTATAATTAAGTTGTTTCATTATGTTTCTCACACGATCATCTATATCTCCATACGGTGGTCGCATATACTTTGGAGTGACACCGATTACTTGCTTAATTGCTTTCTCAGTCCATTTGATTTCCGCTATAATTTCTTCCGTGGTTTGTGTACTGAGCATAGTATGTGACCAGGTGTGAACGACAATTTCATGACCTTATTGTTATATGAAACAAATATTTTCAATTTAGAAGTTGGACAAGATTATTACAGCGTTAGATTAATGTTGTTACCGGCGTGATAAGTTCTATTTAGAATATCAGGATATTCTACAACACGCGAGCCAATCACAGAAAAAGTTGACTTTAATCCATGAGACTCTAAGAAATCTAATACTGGCAACGTATTGTTCCTAAATACAGATCCATAATAAGTAAATTTGATTCTTTTTCGAATATTTTTTATAATAATACTTACGAAGGACCATCATCAAAACTAGAGTA